TGACGATGTAATGATGATGAAATGTCAATGTAATAATGATGTAATGATGATATAACGATGATGTAATGATAATGAAATGATGTAAAGATGATGGTCATGGTGAAGCAATGATGATGTAACGATGATGTAATGACGACGTAACGATAATGCAATGATGATGTAATGATGATGTAATGTCAATGTAATGATGAGGTAATGATGTAGTAATGTCAATGTAATGATGATGTAACAATGATGTAATGATGATGATGTAACAATGATGTAACGATGATGTAACGATGATGTAATGTCAATGTAATGATGATGTAGTGATAATGAAATGATGATATAACGATGATGTAACAATGATGTAATGATAATGAAATGATGTAAAGATGATAGTCATGGTGAAGCAATGATGATGTAACGATGATGTAATGCGACGTAACGATAATGCAATGATGATGTAATGATGATGTAATGATGATGTAATGTCTTTGTAATGATGATGTAATGATGTAGTAATGTTAATGTAATGATGAGGTAACAATGACGTAATGGTGATGCAATGTCAATGTAATGATGATGTAACAATGATGTTGTAACAATGATGTAACGATGATGTAATGACGATGAAATTATGATGTAAAAATAATAAAGTCATGGTAAAGCAATGATGTAAAAATTATGTAATGATGATGTAATGATGATGTAACGATGATGAAATGATGATGTAAAGATGATAGTCATGGTGAAGCAATAATGAAAAGATGATGTTATGACGATGTAATGATGATGAAATGTCAATGTAATGATAATGTAACGATAATGTAATGATGATGTAAAGCTGATGAAATGATGATGTAAAGATGATAAAGTCATGGTGAAGCAATGATGTAAAGATTATGTAATGACGATGTAATGATGATGAAATGTCAATGTAATAATGATGTAATGATGATATAACGATGATGTAATGATAATGAAATGATGTAAAGATGATGGTCATGGTGAAGCAATGATGATGTAACGATGATGTAATGACGACGTAACGATAATGCAATGATGATGTAATGAAGATGTAACGATGATGCAACAATGATTTAATGATGTTGTAATAATATAATGATGTAAAGATGTAATAATTATTTAACTGATGCAACGATTATTAATTAATTTTCATATGGTAATAATATGATGACGTTCTAATGTAATAACCACAAAGATATTACAATAATGTAATAACAAAAGTAATGATGCAATTTGTTTTATGTCTGATGACGATGATGATAATGATATGACGATGATGGTGATTATGATTATTTAAATGTGATGATGACGTAATGATGATGTATTGATGACGTAATGATGGTGTAATGGTGACGTCATGATGACGTAAAGATGATGAAGTGATTAAAATATGATAAAAATCTTTCAGTGGAATATCCCACCAATGATTGATGGCTCCGTGATAACTCAAACGTATATAGTGATAATGATAATAATAACCAGAGTGATGATAATGATGATGATAATGATTATGATGATGATGACTATGATGTAGTTTACTGACATTAATTTGCCACCATCATTATCAACGTGACTTTAGTACAATCACCGAAATCGTTTAATCTTTAGGTTATCATGATCATGTCATCATCATCATCATCATCATTCTCTTCCTCCTCATCATCACCACCATCATTATCATCATCATTATCATCATCATCATCGTTAGTGTAATTATCATCATCATTTAAACACAACAAATTTGAGAAAAAAAACCTGATATTCAAAGTAATAAACTTACAAGATGCACAAGTTGTAGGTCGTGTATCTGGAACAAAAAAAAGTATTAAAAACACTGAAACGATTTTGGATAGGCCAGAAGTAGGACAAGTTATCGGGCTGCTGGGAGGTGGCAAATATGATTTCAAATCTCCAAGTTTCATGGGATGATCCGCAGAGTCCTTGACGGCATTCACGCACTCATTCATTCACGCACTCATTCATTCATTCATTTACGCACTCATTTATTCATGCACTCATTCTTTCATTTACTCATTCATTCGTTCATTCATTTATTCACTCACTCATTCATTCATTCACCCACGTATTAAACATTTTTATAATATAATATAGATTAATTGAAATAAACATTATTTTCGTGGTGTTACATTTACCATTATTATTCCACAACTGCTATAATGTTATTACAATAAAATGCCATCATCAAATTATCACCGTTTATCTTTTTTTGGTCATCCTTCAAATAATATAAAAAATAAAATAAAATAAATCTTCATCTTCTCATTTGCATCGTCGTCATAACATCAACATCCTCGTCCTTAATTCACCATCATTGTTGTCGTCATCATCATCATCGTCGTCATCATCATCAATATCATCTATAAGTAATCATCCCTGCAAAATCTGAAGTTAATTAGTGTAAATTTCGCGTTCAATTGATTCACTTTTTCAATTGCACCGTCAATTTTCATGCGTTTTCTTATCATCGTCATCATCGTCGTCGTCATCATCACCACAATGAGTCATGATGGAGGCAGTATAAAATATCATCATCACCATCATGTAATGATGTAATCATCATCATCATCATCATCATCATCATCATCATCATCATCATCATCATCATCATTATCATCATCATGTTTTTCCTAGCTGGCTAACATTCATCTCATTGCACTCTGCACTTTGTATGTTCTTAATAATTTCACAAACACCAAAAAGTTAGGTGTGTTAAAATTAATTAAAAAATAAGCTGGAAACTTGTTTAAAGGGTTGACGAACAAAGTTGGATCGCACGAATGAAATGATTAAACAAAATCAAACATGGTTTTTTAAATGTGGAAATGAAAATTTTAATTCATAACTTATTTTGCAGCATGAAAGTTAAAAAACTAGTAAGACACCTAGTAATACATTGTGGCGAGTTGGACAAAGCCCGGCAGAAAAGTCAGATGGGAAAACATCGCCACTCGCAAGTTTCTGCACAGCTCAAGAGTGTCAAAACCAAAAATTTTGAAATTATCGCAGATATAACAGCAATCGCTGAAAATTAAAAAGAATACTTTAAAAATATATACAACGAAACAGCAGAGGTCAGATGAAATATAGAATGATGCATCGCAACCTGCCCTCCGTTCCGAAGTGAACCGCGCCATGCGAAGTGGAACGCTGGCGGTACTCGTCCCATTTCCCACTGTGAAATTAACCAGCACCACTGATTGCTTACATCTTGTTAATCAACTTCTTTATCAATGAATATTTAACGATGAACTCATTTTGTAGCGCTTGAGACACTTCTACAACAAATTTATTGTTTCAGTTGGAGGTCCATCTTATAAATTGATTCAAATTATTGCAAATATTTTGCAAAAAAATAAAAATAAAAAGAAGTATTAATTAATATTTACAAAATGTAGCATGCTTGGATCTATAAAGGAAAAACATCAATCAATCACATACCAAACCCGCCAGTTGAACTCGGTTTGAAGCACGGCAGACAAATAAGCAGAAGCAGAAGTGCTAAACAAATATAGTTAAGAGACAACTGCCTGCTTTCTGGCACCACCATCACAAATGGATGACTGGCCTTTCAAAATGTTTCCATTTCATGTGTGACTCCAGAATGGTTTCAAATGTTGAAACAGAAATTGAAAATGAATCTCTGCGAACTTGAATGACAAATTTGATGATTACGGGGAGTCTATAAAGGAACATTGCACGCTGCTGATGCTGATGATTGGGAAGTATAATACTCTTATTAAGATAAAACTTCGAGCCAAAGGCTGGTGGTGATGACGATGATGATGGTGTAATGATGAATACAATGATGATGATGATGATGATGATGATGGTGATGATGATGATGATGATGATGATGGATACAATGCGCCTACCATCATGCGCAGAAATGCCGGATGGTTCCTTGAGCACTGGGATTGAAGCCTTGGAGAAGAGCCGACAAATGTAGTCGTTTAATGCTGAGTGACGTAGTTTACGGCCCCCACCCAGGCGACAAACCAAACCGTGGTGCTCAAACTCGTCCGCCCCAGCGCCACATCGGCACGTGTATTTATTTTGAATGACCAGGCCAAGTCTGAAACCAATGGCAAATCTCACAGACTTGTCGTTAAGCCTGATGCCCACAGAGGTGTTGGGCCACGATCTCAACCACCCACAGCTGGAAACGCTGGACATGGCTAACAAACGAGCGGTGGAAAAGTCGTCGGCGCATGAAGACAACAAATTTTGAAAAATCTTTTTATATTCTTCGTTCAAAATTTGGACGTGCGTACGGTCCCCCGGGGCAAACACTGGGGAAAGAATATCGCGGCAACGAAAAAACCGGTGAAGCAGAGAGGACTGTAAGTCAAGAGTGGCAGCGGCAGAAGAATTATAAACAACAGGAGCCAGCTGAACCACGCTAAGCAACCCCAGCCCACCAAATCGCACCGGCAGCTGAGCCTAGACCAACCACTGTCGGTCACTTGAACATTGCAAATCGACGACAGGGCGGTGCGCAGGGCTCCGTCAAATTCGCCCAATTTAAAAGGGTCAATGTGTTTGGATGTACGCAGGAAGTACATCAATTAGGGCAAACTGAGGGCATTGCGGATAATAGTCAAGGCATCATGGGCCGAAAGACAGGAAACACGACCCAAGGCGAATTTGAGCTCAGAGAGCTTTTGGTCAAAAAACTTTATTTGGTAATCGCCCTCGACCAAGAGTGTGCCTAAAAAACTCAGTTCTGATGCACCAAATCTCGGTATTCTAGTCAGCGCATGTGTATGTAATTATGTATGTATGTATGTGTGTGTGTGTGTGTGTGTGTGTGTTTGTATGTATGCATGTATGTATGTGTGTTTGTTTGTTTGTATGTATGTATGTTAAAACCAAATCATTGACGAATGACACCAAAAGCCAAGCGTCTGACTAAATTTGATTTTATTTGCTATAACGTCACTCAACCCCGTCGGCATTCAACTCCACATTTTCCAACACACAGACGCGCAAAAACCGCTGCAGGATGCACGAGATATTATTCATAGCAAAAAAATATTCCCTACTATAGCTTGACCTAATACTGATATTTTTACAAATTCGATTGAAAAACCCGGAGGTGTTACGGTCCATGGGGCCGAGGACCTCGATACAAATCGGTAAAAACTCCATCGAGGGGAGAGCCCCGTCGTACTTTTTGATCTTCTCGTCAGATGCCCTGGTTGCAGTAACCGCTTTCTTTGCTAGTAAGCTGCACGTAGCGCTCAGCAAAGGTGCCCGGAACGGTAACGTCCCACGCCAGGCACCTGCCGGCTCTCCAAGGGATCAAGGTATACCCGTCAGGGCGTTTACCGTCGTGCGCCGCAATGCCCGACGGTTCCTTTAAAACCGGAATTGAGGCCTTGGAGAAAAGTCGGCACACACAATCGTTTATGGCTGAATGTCGCTGCTGGCGACCTCCGCCCAAACGATAAACAAGACCATGATGGCCGAGTTCATCCGCCTCCGCGCCGCACCTGCATGTATATCGACTTTGAACGGCCAACCCCAGACGGAAGCCAATGGCTGTCCTGACCGTTTCGTCGTCCAATCTGGTACCCACCGACGTATTGGGCAAAGATCTCAGCCAGCCACAACTCGCCTCGCTGGATACTGCCAGCAAGCGAGCTGAGGTCGCCGAGTCAGGGCTTGAAGAAAGCAACTCTTTGAATGTGCGTTTATATGCTTCCTCCAAAATGTTGCCCTGGGAAAGGTCTGTTGGTTGGATTGGAGTCGGTGGAGTACAGTGTAGGCTACTAAATTGCCAAAGAAGGGCAGACTGTAGGTCAAGCGTGGCAGATGCAGAAGATTTATAAACAATTGGTGCAAGCTGAACCACGCTTAGTAACCCCAGTCCCCCAAATCGTACCGGCAGCTGAGCCTGAGACCAACCCTTGTCGGTAATTTCGACGTTACAAATTGCTGAGAGGGCCACCCGCAGAGCACCCTCAAATTCGCCCAAAATGGCCGCATTAACAAAGTTGGATGTGCGCAAAAAATACATCAATTTCGGCAAACTGAGGGCGCCGCGGATGATTGTCAGCGCGTCGTGAACCGGGAGAAGAGAGACACGTTCGAGGGCAAATCTTAGCTCAAAAAGTTTTTTATTAAAAAACCTGTCTTGATGATCGCCGGCCATCATTGGAGTGCCTAAAAAATTTAATGATGAACGGGGCACTGTGGGGGCATTAGCCAGCACGTGTGGCATTTGAAACGTGTCATTTACAAATAGTTCACACTTGTTTGTGTTTAATTCAAGACCAATGATGGAAGCGCCGACCCTCAGCGACAGGAAGTCGTCCGCTGAGATGTTACCCTCTGCGGCCAAGCTGACATCGTCCAGGTGGCCACAAACAAACGCCGAGGATGACTTCGTCAACAGCGGGTGAAGGGTTAGAGCAAAAAGCATCGGTCCCAAAGGGTCGCCTTGCTGTACGCCCTCGCACGATTCAACCACCCAGGCGTCGTAACCAAGAGAAGAGACTCGGCCATATGCGGAATGACAAAAATTATAAATTTGAGGACAGTGCTGCTTAACTGCCTCTAACATTGAGTCTCTTCTCAGGGTGTTGAAAGCGTTCTTGAAATCAATCTTCAAGAATCCCCACCGTTTTGTAAGTGCTGAAATCAGTTCACGTACGGCGTGGACGGCCGCCTCAGCACCACCTTTCACACCGACGCCCAATTGGATAGGATAGAGTTTGGCTTTGACCTGTTCCAACACTAGCGCCAGAGCGCACTTACTGGCCAGCCTCCTCCAGAAATTCCCCACCGCGATGGGTCTGATCCCTCCATCTTTTTTGTTTAAAGCCACCAGAGGGCCCCCAAAAAAGAAACGGCTAACCGCGGGAGGGCAGACCCCAGATAACAACAAATTTACAAACCGGGTGAGGTTATTTAACAATTCATCGGTGGGCGTCGGACCGGAAAGTAAATCCTTTATGTGCTGAGGCCTCAAGCCATCAAGGCCTCCAGATGAACCATTATTAAACGATTTTAAAGCCGTCAACACCTGGGCTGGTGAAACGCGACCATTGGACGGCTCCTGCGTGGGGAAAGCTCGCCTGTTCAATGGAGCACTGGGATGAATAGCTTTGAGTTTAGCGAGTGTCTCAGGCGAGCTCTCCGCCAAGCCTGCGGGCGAACAAGCAAGTCTGACGGCCGCCGAGAGACTGCCCTGTTCAATCCAACTGTTTGGATTGTGCTTACGCGGTTTGGTGTTGTGGTCAGTGTTGAAGCTTGCCACAATAATCTCGACCTCAGTCGAACTGAATTCGGCCAACCGTTTAATAACGTAATTGGCTTGATTAGTCCTGCGAACGCCCCTGGTGGGCTTGAACAAAACAAATGCGAAAAAACATTGGAGCCTGCACCAATGGGCCGCGTCGCAGGGATCATTGCAAACGGCCGTCAATAAAGCCGACAATGCTTTAGATACCTTGTCTCTGCACGGTTTGGGAACGTGATCATACAGATGGGCAGTCCTCAAAACGACCGTCAGCCTGTCAAAAACATGAAAAAAATCCCCTTGGGAGGGACTCTCCGAGACCGACGCCGAAGAACCGCGTGTAACAACATGAGGGTTGATGACAGGTGCAGCGGTAAGAGGCGGTCGCGCGGAAGCATAGGACCCGCCGGAGGCTGGTCGGCTACCTTGAACGAACCAGGGCATTCCTGGCCCTTCGCTTTGCCTCCATGTCGATATAGTTTACCGTCCGGTTTTATTTTATAATGATTTAAACAAACCGTGCATTGGTATAGGACCGGTGCCATTACGTCAACGAAATAAAATCAAAAGCGTGTAGATAAAACCGTGTGAACAGTGATAAAATAAAATAAATAAAATTGTGGTGAAAATAAAAAAGGTTAATTTAAATAAATTTAAAAATTAAAAGAAAAACTAGGAATGAAACAGAGAAAACAAAAATAAATATTAATGAGCATTGTACGGTGCAGCTGGGTAAAAGCCCACAGCTGTTGTTAAAGTATGGTAAAGCTAAAATTAAAAATTTGAGACCACAAAAGTTAAAAAACCAACCGAACGGCGGGACACTAATCCGAAAAAGGGCAAAAGCGACAATCTATAAAAACCACACCAGAAAAACCGAAATTATTGCAACAAAAACCTTAAAAACCAGAAATATTACTAAAAATTAAGCGAAATACTAAAAATGTGGAAGCCGACACGAGCTGAGCGAAATGTATGTATGTATGTATGCATGTATGTATGCATGCATGCATGTATGTATGTTTGTTTGTTTGCATGTATGTATGTATACGTGGATGAATGTTTGTATATTTATTGTTTGTACGAATGTATGCATTTAGGTATGATTAGCATGAGAATTTCGAATGACCCGAGAAATGTTGTAGTAAAACATCAACAGCGAATGACAAATTGCTCGTGTTCCCATCATTGATACGTTGGTGTGTTTGACTGTTTGTTTGTATGTTTGTGTGTTTGTTTGTGTGTTTGTGTGTTTGTTTGTTTGTGTGTTCGTATGTTGGTGTGTTGTATGTTGTATGTTTGATTGTTGTGTTGGTGTGTTGGTGTGTTGTATGTTGGTGTGTTGTATGTTGGTGTGTTGTATGTTTGTGTGTGGTATGTTGGTGTGTTGTGTGTGTTGTGTGTTGGTGTGTTGGTGTGGGATGTTTGAAATTATTTTGTTTTCATCATGATTAATCGGTTGCCAGTTGCCTGGTTATGGAGTTTTACGATGGTGCAAATGTTATTGGCGGTTCTGTTGCCATTGTGTTTTTGCATCATTGTCATTGTTGTTGTCGTTGTACTTGTATTATTGAGGTTTCATTGAGTTTGTTTCAGTGTTGTATATTGATGTAATGTTGTTGTGTTGGAGTGCATTCCAGTTGTATCAATGTCGTTGTATCTGTATCATTGTTGTTGTCGCTGCATTTGTATCATTTGTATCATTTGCATCATTTGTATCATTTGTATCATTTGTATCATTGATGTGTGTTAGTGTAATGTTGTTGTGTTGGAGGGCACTCCAGTTGTATCGTTGTTGTTGTCTGACTGATTAAAATGATTCTGCTTTGACGTAATACAGTTCGTTGTTATATTCTGATTTTAAATAAAAAAAAATTAATTTCTATGTGATCACAAAACAATTTCTATGAAACTACAAAGTCATCTCATCTAGTCAACTCGCCCAAGTTCAACAATCATGTTTCATCCATCCATCCATCCATCCATCCATCCATCCATACATCCATCCATCCATTCATCCATCCATCCATCCATCTATCTATCCATCCATCCATCCATCCGATCATCCGTCCATCCATCCATCCATCCATCCATCCATCCATCCATCCATCCATCCATCCATCCATCCATCCATCCATCCATCCATCTATCCATCCATCCATCCATCCATCCAATCTTCCGTCCATCCATCCATCCATCCATCCATCCATCCATCCATCTATCTTTCATTAACCCACCCAATGAGTGATAAATGGATGACGTCAGATTTCATTTGACGACCCAAAACTTCCGTCGACGCTTAAAAACTTCAACCTTTGAAAATGGCGACGAAAACATTTAGCCGATCGATCGAAGGCGTGTTTGAAATTCACTGAAGATGATTTGATTCATAGAAATTTGTTATTCCAAGACTCGGAAGTTGAAGACCCGACAGCGTTTCGATCAGGAGACTTTCAAATTTAATCTCTCAAACGTAAGACGTCCTACGCTTTGTGTTGTTGAAAAAAAATATTTCTTTTTGTTTTTACAAAGTTTTGTTTAACGATGGAGAAATTTGGTTGAAAATTTCCAGGTACATAAGTATCAGTAAATGTTTTTTTCAAACGCTTGAGGCTTTTCAGCAAATTCTGGTCGCTCTTAGGAGCAAATATTTCTGTGTTTATTTGCGTGTGTGTGAATGTGTGCGTGTGTGTGTGAATATATGTGTGTGTGATTGTGTGTGAATATGTGTGTGTGATTGTGTGTGCGAATTATAATAATAATTATTATTATAGCAAATTGCCATCACATGCCATATATTGGGATCGGAACAATGCGTGAACCAACTTTCATAACTGTCTCATCATCGCTGTACTTATTTAATTTTAAATGAAGAGCAGTGATGACTAACTATGATGATTATGATTTCATTTTAATCATGACAATTTCTCCATTAATTAATTAACTAATTAATTATTGATTGTACGCATTTGATGAAAAATTACCTATTATAAAAAAACTTGTAACAGCGCCTCTATCAGACACAGAGCAACAACATGACAGCTTGAATGATAACAAAAAAAATATACAGAAAAAAACAAAAATAAGATAAATAATTAAATAAATAAATAAAACAAACAATACATAATAACCATCCACCAACTAACCTGCCGGCAAGCAGATACAATAAGTAACCAACAAACTTAACAGACCGCGAAGTGGAGAAAATGAAAAAAAAACATACACGGCATGTCAAAAACGAATAAATAAACAAATACAATTGATCCAAAACCATTCATACATGTGCGTACTTGAATGTGTGTGTGAATGAGTGTGTTAATGGGTGTGTGAATGTATGTGAATGTGTGTGAATGAGTGTGTGAATGAGTGTGTGAATGTGTGTGAATGAGTGTGTGAATGTGTGTGTGAATGAGTGTGTAAATGTGTGCGTGAATGTGTGTGAATGAGTGTGTGAATGAGTGTGTGTATGTGTGTGAATGAGTGTGTGAATGAGTGTGTGTATGTGTGTGAATGAGTGTGTGAATATGTATGTAAATGAGTGTGTGAATATGTGCATGAATGTGTGTGTGTAAATTTGTGTGTGTTTGAATGAAAATGTGCAAATGTGCGTGTATGGTGCAGTGGTATTCTCGTCAAAGTTTAAATTTTTCTTATTTAAATATTGACAATTAATTAAATTAATTAATTAATTAATTAATTATTGACATCATTTGCACGATGTGTCGCTAGTTGTTCGTTGTTAGCCACGCGAAGATGACACTCAACGCAGCCACACTCCATGATGGGGGGCCACAAATATCATGGCACGGTTGTTCGTGCAACAACAAAAATGATATTCTGCAAAAACGATACAGACATTTAAAAAGACACTTACTTATTTGCAAACTCAATACCAAATGTTGAAAATATCAGAAAATTGCAAGATTTGTTCACGCATTAATCAAAAACATTGAATGTCTGCGTCTACCAAGTTACTCTGATCCAGGTGATGTTGATAAAGTGAAGTTAAGCGATGGAATGAAATGAACTGAAACAATCAATCAATCAATCAATCAATTAGCTTAAAAAGCGTTATTTCCGCGATGTTCAACAGCGCTCCTCAATGAATTTTGAAAACAGATGGGTCTTGAGATCTGCTCTGAACTTCGCAAGTGATGGAGAAGTAGTCAGAGAAGTAGGTAGAGAGTTCCAGAGAAAAAGACCAGAAAAAGCAAAAGCAGATTTGGCAAAAGAGTGTTTAACACGAGTTAAGAAAAAGCGAGAAGAATTTACTTGAATGGCAAAAAGCAAATTTATAATACAAAACCACCTGAGTTACTTGTATTTTTATCTAGAGGATAGCAAAGGTTGACACACATTCACACACATTCACACACATACACACACTCATTCACACACATTCACATACATTCACACACTCATTTCTTAGTACCATTCGATACCATGGTCTCAAACATGACCATAATTTTCTCAATAAGCTAAATTTTTTGAGAAATATTGTAATTATTTCGCATGTTACGCAATTTTGGCAGAATCAAAAAAAAGAAACATTATTTCAATCAATTTGTTTTACAAGCAGACCCATACTTTCATGTGACGAAACTTTGGAGAACTGCTCCACCTCTCGTGGCAACTGCTGGGCAGCGTGTGGTTGCATGTTGACACAAATGCTTCTAGACCCCCGAGTGGACTGCGGAGGTTCGTTCCGCACGGGCCATGCAGTGTTCCTGTGTGACGAACATTTGAAAAAAATTACAATTTGAAAAACTGGATAACAAGAACAAATATTGGATCGACAAATGTTGAAATAATTCAGACTGCAGCCGGCATGTGATGATGACTTTTTAAGCAGCCACTTGATGTCGCGAACGAGGACCCGGTTTTGGTGTTCTGTCTGGAACCAGGTGAGGACTTATCGGGAGCATCATCATTCCACTTCGCCACCCTCCTCATTTCAAACAATGATGGTTATCTTTCAAACATTCACAATCATGGTGACGATGATGATAATGATCTTCTAAAAATAACAACAACCTCAACCACAAAGATGATGATGATTACGACGACGACGACGATGATGATCTTTTAAAAACTGACAACAACGATAAAGATGATGATGGTGATTCTTCAACAAACATCAAAAGCCACTCAAACAAATTGCTGCATGGGCCTGGCGAAACAATCAACAAATAACTGCCTGCAAATCTCCACCATTGGATTTCAATCTGTCGCATCTTTATCTATTACATGCCGCGATATAATTCAACCGTGCGCGCGCCTCTGTGTGTTTGTTGTGTGTGTGCGTGTGCGTGTGTGTGTACTTAGATTTATGTGGATGTATGGATATGAGTGTATATATGGATGTATGTATGTAAAGGTATGTGGATGTGTGCATGTGAATATGTGCATGTGGATGTGTGTATGTGAATAAATGTCTGTGGATG